CATATCAGTTTGCTTACAAATGCAAAAGAAGCACATTAGATGCCGTTGCTGTTCTGCATCACAATATAGTGTTCGGGTTGGAAAAGGGTAAGAAGTATGTTAGATGCGCTTTCCTGGACTTTACTTCTGCTTTTGATTCTATTCCAAGACACCTCTTACTTAACAAGCTGATCAGCGTCGATACTGACAGCTGGATAACCAATTGGCTATGTTCCTACCTTTCTGGAAGAGAACAGTACACTGTCTTTGAAGGAAAGTGTTCAACATCTCTACTGTCTACTGTAGGTGTGCCACAAGGAGCTGTTCTTTCACCTCTGCTCTTCTCTTTCTTTTTGCATGATCTGCCATCTTCCACAGAAAACACTTTTGTAAAATATGCGGACGACCTCACCGTATGTATGCCAATTTCTACCTCCTTACATCTTATAGAAATGAATGACTTTTTATCTCGTATTGAAAGGTGGTCTGTTGGTAATGGTCTCTTACTCAATCCATCTAGATGTCAAGCTGTTAATTTTAGCTTGAGACATGGACAGAACCTATACTCTATGTTGGGATCCCATAATGCTTGTGCCATTGGAGACTCCTTAATAAACACAGTTTCGAAGGTCAAATATCTTGGTGTTATTTTTTCCTCTGATCTTTCTTGGTCTTCTCATGTTTTGCTGTTATCGAAAAAAGTTTACCGTTTGACATACTACATAAAGAGGCTGCATGCTTTTGGGATTACTCGCCATTTACTCTTACACTTTGCAAATTCCTGCATATTACCTATTATTCTATATTGTTCTCCATTATTCTTTCCTGGGCTTTTGAGAAAAGACTTTGCTATTTTGCGTAGAGTGCTGAAGGCAGTTTGCAAGGTATGTGGTGAATCTTTTGAAGTCATTGTTAATATGCTTGTGGATAGACATCTTAAGGCTTGCAAACTCTTAGCAGGTGTTATCTTATCAGATGCTAAACATCCCCTTTATTCATATCTTTCTCCTTGTATATCTTCTGGTAGAACGAGACGTAAATACATTAAAATTCATGCACGCAAGCAAATCTATAAAAGTTCTGTAATACCTTACTTAGCTAATTTACTTTGTGACGAACAGGCTGTTAGAGTTGACCTAGTAAATAACCTGTCTTCTTAAGCATGTCTCATATTCGATAATTTGTATAAACTCAGATTTTCTTAAACCTTTTTTATATTTTATTTCTGTTTTGTTGTTGTTTTTTTTTATGGTTTTATTTTTTGGGAAAAAACTTGTTGAAATAACTCGTGCTGAGAATTCTATATTGTACCAGATTATAATATAGAATAAAGCCATTAATAATAATAATAATAATAATAATAATAATAATAATCTGTAACATGTATATATGATTCATTTAAATGGATAACCTTTATAATTATAATTCTAAGAATATTCTCACTGTACTGTAGTGAACGATAATCCAATTTATATGAACATTTAATTATCATATGATATGTAGTAACGAGAATTAGATCGAATCCGTCGACCAAATTCTACTTATTCATGAACATCAGTAATGTGTGGATTAAAAGTTAGGTTAGTTTTGTAAATGTATCCAAAAGACAATGTTTTTTATAAAATACCTATAATAAAGAATAGGTTGTATTGTAGTGAACAGGAACATGAGTGGGGACAGTCAAATTTATTTAAGCACAAAATCACAGAATATCTCAGTAAAATCTGACAACCGTACAGTCAACAGTTAATTTATAAATTATCAATCAATTGTGTCAATCTTGAATGTTTCTTCTTCAAATATCAGTCCATCGTCCCCGATTATTATTGTTCATGCATTTTCATGCCAATTAAATTTCGTTGCCGTTTTTTTCATTATCGATCTACTGAAATACATTCAATGCCCGACCATCGTTATATACTACTTATGTGGATATAAGTAATCCACACTATAGTGTAAAGTGTTTGACTTTAAAAATGATGTATTTTGTTTGTGCTTAAGGTTCAATCAACGTTAGTTTTGCTAAACATTTGTCAAGCAATTTTAGATGGACTGGATTCTGATACTGCTGTATAGCGTGGAGCTATTCATTATTGAATTATTCAGTGTTTACTGTAAGATTCTTTCAAAAAATAGCCTCTATATTCTTCCAACATATATGCTATTGTAGCTACAGTTAGACAAAAGAGGTCTGTTATCTTGATCAGATAATCTGAAAAGGATTTCCTTACATCAGTGACAGTCGACCTGGGTAGTATGAAAGTTCGTTGTGATACCGGGCCTTAGTCATCACATATTTCAACAGCCATGACAATCCCCTTGAAATGTATTTGATTAACAAATTTAGATGAGAAGTAATTGAATTTTTTGGAGAAGTTCCATTCTCTGAACTGGATGGGTACTTCAATCAATGAAGTTATTACTCATTATTTCAATGGTGTAGATAAAGAAATAAATAAACTAAATAATTGATTTCCTTTCAATTTCAGTAATAAATTTCTGTTGGAACTACAAAAGTAAGACTAACAAAGACAATGTAAGAAAGAAACCAGACTACTTAAGACTTGATTTTGAAGAGAGCTTAGAGGGTGTTATTTTAACATACCAATTTACTAGGTCTGTTGAAAGAAGGCCAAGTTACTTATAACTTGATAAAAGCAGTACTTTTAAATGAATGAAGAACTATACGCTGAAAAGTCCTTTGATTGGTCCGATGGAACTAATTACTAGGCTTTATTCTTGAAAGCATGGTTAAAAAAATCAGTCATTCAATATACTAATAGTTTCATCTTTTCTCACCCAGTGAACACTAAACGAAAACAAAATAAAAAATTTTCAGTCTATTTAGTTGAAGCCATCTCCATCAACTCCGGAAAACCTAACTTGTGTGTTCAAAAGAGGTATATTGAGCATCTTTGTTCACCATGGATCACGATTCGACCACTTCGTATATATATCCCATGTATGACAAACTCTTACCTTCTTCCACTCATCCCCTTTTATGTATATTTCTCTTCCCCTCCCCATAATTAATATATACATTTATCTTTCTCAATTCACATGCATCTTTTATCTTGATTATCCTAATTAACTTAACAACAGTTCACACATTACAAATTATATTCACATGACCATATTATTATTATTATTATTATTATTATTATTATTATTATTATTATTATTATTATTATTAAACACAACATAACATCTCTCCCATTGTTTTTTATCCCCGAAATCTTTCTCCAATGATATTCACCGCAACATGACACCTTTTGATGAACTTCCTTATCCCTTTGTTAAAAATGCTTTTGAAATTTAAGAAATGATTTTCTATGCATTTACGCTGTAATCAATATGATAGTGTACTCAAGTACGATAAACCAAATTATCCCTTAATGCGAAATCACGCAGTGACTTTGTAAAATATGAAAATCATACATTAAATATACCATTTGCATATCTTCGTTGAGTTGTCCCCTACATACCTCCTCACTCTCCCAACGCTGTTGATATTACGATTACTCTTTGTTTTTCTACGTCTTCTCCCATTTCAATAATCTGCGGGCAAGTATTCTACTTCCAATTCCTGCGACATACTACTTATGTTTGTCCTCATAAGTAGAGCATACCAAAATAGTTCATCATAACCTTGTTTAATTCATTTTTTTATATGTAACATTTTGACTACTGTAGTACTATAATATCTTATTATGTTATATCTAAATGAATCATTTAGAGTAGAAATATTCCAAGAATATGAGTTAATTCTCATTTCCCTACACTTAAATGGTTAACAATAATCTAGAAAAGCATTTTAAACCAGGATACACAAACATCAAATAATGAATCGATGAGATGAGAAGAATAAATGTAATGTTTGCATAAATTTCATTGCATCAATATATCGCTTTGAAGTAAACATGTTGATCTATTATAAATGATAAAATAAAAATTAGAGACTTAGTAATTTTTCTCGTATACTGTCCATAATGGATAGCCAATTTACTTGACAAACAACAACTGCGCACTGCCGAGGAGTCCAACAATAGGACGAAACGGCCGTCCAGTGCTTCCAGGTTTTCCATGATGGTCTATTCTATGAGTGAAGGATAAACATCCATAATCCTCTATTGCTAAACATATAAACGAAACAGGCCGTAAGATTGATCTTAACTCAGCTTTTGTGGTGTTGTATAAAAGTGAAAAAGGGCGTATACTAAGGTTTATCGAAGCCTTAGCCATACGATAATTCAAACCCCCTTTGTGTATTCAAAAAACAGTTTGATCTCACCTTAAACCTACCCTGGTAATATTAGCTTATTATCCACAGTGATTAGGTTTCAAATTGTTTTCACACTAATTTTATTATTAATATTATCCTTGTCTACTCTTACCATCCATTTCCAGTCTAGTTGACCTTTTATTTTTATATATAAATGCTCTTAACAACTATATGTGTGGTCAGATTGTTCGAAATGTATTGCACTAATATATCACATAGTTCTGATAATCTTCGTCTTATCAGACAATTTAATGGAAGGTTTGTATATGAACTATTTAATGTATAATAAGTAAAGATGGATAGTGAGTAGCAGTGGAATCTAGGATGCGCGTTTCCTCCTATTTGGGATTCGTCGGCTGGATTTACCTGCATCTCAGAGTTGATGTTTACTCTGGGACTCGAATCCAGTACCTTTCGTTTCAAACGCCATCGTGTTATCACTCCGTTACTGAGTCTTCATAGCCACCGAGGCAATACGCGCAGTATGAACATATGCCACTGAGAGACTGAGCAGTTTCAGTCCTAAGCATCAATGGGAAGATTCAAACAAACAATACTAAGTGTATTTAATGTACAGTTGTTGCATTTTACGAAACAACTCTGTAATTTTACACCAAACAATAAGGTAATTATCCCCAAGCTAACTCTTCTTTCATTTTAATATGAAAAAATTCATTCCTATAACTCTTTTAACTCCTATAACTCTTTATCATTTATCAATTAAGAAACAAATACAATGTGATAACAAGAAATTTATTAGCATTTGAAATCGTACATAATTAAGGAAAACAAAAAACAAAAACAAGAAAATTTACCACACATTGTTTTATAAATATTCTACGCTTTAGAAATTGAAACTTCTAAATTTATTTAATTATTTGTAGTTGAATTGTCATTAACTGAAAAGTGAAATGATCAAGAAAATTTTTTTTTCAGTTTTCAAAAATGGAGAAACAAATAATTATAGATGTATTCTAATATTATTTATGAAAGGATACACGTCAAGACTATTCTTGTTCATTATCATTACACTCTATTTACCCGATTATCTTTTGTGTACTATTTTATACTACTTATAAATATTCAGTAACCAGTAACAAATCACATAGTATTTTGAGTAGACCTATTTATTATAGAATACAACATCGCTTATCAAATAAATCTTATTAAACAAAATGAAATCAATCAATCAGGCATGGTCTGAATAGCTTCATGACAGCGTCTTTCAATTTAGTAAATAGTAGTTTGAGTTTCATAGGAAGTGTTAATTCCTATTTTGATTGTAGATACCCCTTTCTAATATATAGCAATTAACAGATAGTTCAGCCATACAGGTTTCTGCGACCTAATTTCAGTTAGATGATATAAAAATGAGATTAGTTCATAACCTTGACTTTGAATCGCTTTTATCAAACATTTACGAAGGCTATATTGTATATTCTTTCCAAAAGCACTTAATTACTATTAAGCCAACTCAATAACAATGTAATCCCACAGTAATGATAAACCGTACACGAAATTTCACTGAAGAATCTGAGAACTTATAACTCTTTAATAATATAAAATGCTCCAATTCTGATCCGTTCAATGTTAAGGTGGTTGATCAAGCAAATTAAAATGAATGTATCATTAAAAAAATGATTGATGTAGTTGGTTATCTTGGTCATCTAAATCTATCAAACTACTTATGAATAAATAGTTTGTTGTTATTCATTTAGAAAGTATTTCTAGTGTAAAGATAGTTAAATAAATTACAACATTTAAATAATTAATCAATAACTTACGGCTAAATGATGAGAACATATCCAATTTCTTATTGATGATATCATTTAATTCAGTTGAATTACGTAACATTCCTAAAAAGTCCATTTCTTTTAATTGTTTCTCAAAATCATCAGATATCCAAAAGCTTTTAGATACAACTTGACCTAAATTATGAAATATAATAAATAAACAAAAAATATTAAGCATACATCATCTTATATGTTATGAATAAGTAGGTTTTACATGTGATTACTGAATTTATATTGAAGTGTACTATATGTAGATTGGTTCACATCATATAACGCAATATTGTTTTAAAGCACAGTAATGGTGATCATTATCTTATTTATACTTGGTAATTCCAGATGTATAATCATTCCCTATGGTTGATGTTATTCTATGATTGAGATTTATTGTTTAAACAAACAATTGAATAATAATAATAAAGTTGGATTGATCTATTTGGGGATACAAGTTAATTCATATTGTATAACAGATGTTATTTTACCTGTGGGTAGTCTGTTTTTATTTGACCATTAAATGCGTTACACCAAATTGATCATACATTTAAAAGCCTTCCTATGTACTTGATCATCGGTGATTTTGTTAACTTTATAATTGAATAGTCATTGGGTAGTGACCGATGTCTTGTTTATCAGGTTCTTCTTAGTGCAGATCGAATTCTATCGATCAATTTGCAATCTAGTCATTAGTCTAACTGAGTCTAACTGTGTTGAGTTACTACGTGGTGATTGGAGGTGGTCGACGGGAAACCTTGACCTAAGTTTTGTGCTATTTGACACTCGTCAGCAAAGTGTACCTGTAACATTTAGGTAAGTGATGCTCTGTGGTGGAGTTGACATACATGACTACATATCATCATTATTCATCAATATCGAATAGAGTCAATAAAGGGCAAAAAAATCGTTCATTTGACTTAATGTAACTTTCTCATTTCATTTATGCCTTTATTAGTTTTTATTACAACTAATACACTTGTTATGAAACTATCAATTCTTGTTTTTACATTTTATTTATCATGCTTACCATGCTTATGAATTAAGGCTATATCGAGGCAATACGTACAGTATGAACATATTCCAATTAGAAATTGACCAGTTGCAGTCCAAAACACATCAATTGGAAGATTCAAACAAACAATACTAAATAAATTTTACTTATTAGGTTTAATATAATCTATTTCATTGTTATCATTAACTCATGAACAGTTTGGATTGATTTATTTTGGAAAATAGAAAATATCAAGTTTATAAAAGATATTGAATATAAATTACTCACGTGTAGTATTTGTTTGTGGAATTCCATATTGATTTTTTCCTAATTCACTATCATCATCAAGGAATTGTGAAATCCATTTTTCATTCATATTTTTTGTTTCAGGTACTGAAAACCAAGATGTTTCTGTTCCTCCATCACTTTTATCTATGAATAAGAATATCAAATAATATAATGATAAAATAAATCTGTCAAACATCAGTCAAATTATAAATGAATATGATTTGTCATGATTTGATTAACTCTTCTAAAGAATAAAATACATGTTATTATATGAAAACTGGAGCTTAATACTTAAAAGGTTTATATTTTCAACGGTTGAATCCATGAGTTCATTTAAGCTAGACTACCGATGAAGACTTAGAAGCACTAGATGACCATTTTGTTCTAGTATAGGATTCTTTAACAGTGCTCATCCACGATCCTACATGCAGGACTCAAACGAAAGACCAGTGTGAATGCTTAACCTCTAGACCACTGATCCGGTATAAAACGGTGTTATATTTGTAACTTAGGTATATTGCCAATCATTAATGTTGTTCTTTTTTGTGAATGAAGGATATGTATATATACTACATAGAATATATTTATTGCAATTAAAATTAGTAATATATACATGCACATATACTTGCCTGAGGTATTGTTAAGTTTCGTTGAATTATTTTGTAACAATGCTCCACCATTGATTTGATTATTAATAAAATCAAGCATATCTTTATCAGTTACATTTTTATCACCTAATTTAATAACCCATGTAGTTTCTGTAATTTCATCATCATCTGAAATGAAATGAAATTAATAAAATGGAAAAAGTAGTAATTTACTCAAGATGATTGACTTGTTAAATTTTTAAATGGTCTATACTATTGTCGTGTGGTCGACTTATATCCACATAAGTAGTATATGGTGATGATCAGACATAGAATGTATTTTGGCAGAAGATCGATAAGGAGAGAACTGGAACGGCAGGCGATTGGTACGAAATATATGAACAATTATAATCGGAGACTATGGACGGATATTCACAGAAGGAACAGTCAAGATTGAGACAATTGATTGTTATTTTGCAAATTAACTATTAACTGTATAAATATAAGAATTTAATGAGATAATCTGTAGTTTGTGCTTAAATACTTTCGATTGTCCCTAGTGGTGTTCTTGTTCACTACACTATTGTAAACTGAATTCACTATCTCATTTTCATAAAACCAAAATTTTGATGTGATATAGTGAATAAACTAAAGAGTGTTCTATATTTAATACATTCAATGGTAGACTGTTTAAGGCTAATAAGCTCAGGTAGATGTATATATACATATATCTATAATTCAAAATTAGACTAACTCCGCCTGTAATGGAGACGTGGAGAACTACGAAAGACATCATTCAGAAGATACATGTGTTTATTAATAGTTGTCTACGCAGGATACTTCGGATCCGTTGGCCAGACACTATCAACAACAAGTTACTTTGGGAGACAACAAACCAGATTCCAGCGGAGGAAGAAATCAAGAAGAAGCGCTGGAAGTGGATAGGACACACATTGAGGAAAGCATCCAATTGCGTCACAAGACAAACCCTGAAGGCCAAAGACGAGCAAGACCAAAGAACACATTACTCCGAGAAATGGAGACAGACATGAGAAGAAGGAACAAAAACTGGATAGAACTAGAAAGGAAGTCCCCGAACAGAGTGGGTTGGAGAATGCTTGTCGACGGTCTATGCTCCATTGGGAGTAACAGGCGTACGTAATTAAGTAAGTAAATTAGGCTATTTAATATTAACCATTGAACTTACAATATTCATCTGATGAATTTGATGATGGTGCTTGTTTGTATACAATAGTTTTTTTCAACATTGGCTTTAATTGACTGGATGATTTTGGACTTGATATTTTTTCTGTTTGAACAATTTGTTTCGGTTTTACAGTAGTAGTTGTAACAATAGAAGTATTATTAGATTGTTCTTGATCATCTTCATAATATTCATTTTCATCAGGTTTATCTAAAATATATAATGAAAAGAAATTCGATTGATCAATAATTATATTTTGGTATTGTTGAAATGAATAACTTGAAAGTTTGCATTATCGATTGTTTTTTCTTAACACCACAATATTGAATCCGGAAGGGAAGCATTAAAGAGGAAGGTCAAAGAACACATTACGCCGGGAATTAGAAGCAGATATGAAAAGGATGAATGGTAACTGGAATGAACTGGAAAGGATTGCCCAGGACAAAGTTGGATGGAGAATGTTGGTGAGCGGCCTATGCTCCTCGGCGAGGGGTAACAGTCGTAAGTAAGTTAGTTATTAACTAATATGTAGTAGTAAAATAAAAGTAATATAATTAGTCATTGAGCGTGGACAAACAGACACTTAGCCTAATTGACTCTTAAATATATGATTTTCCTTCCAGTTATTGATTTCTACTCTGGATTGGCTGAGAATGACTGTTTGTAATTGTATTGCATAAAATATTATCAGAATGAGAGGGGGGGAGATCGTGATGATTATAGTAATTTTAATAGTTGAATTCATGAGTCGATTAAAGCTAGACCACTATGGAAAATCCGAAAGCACTGGACGTACATTTCGTTCTAGTATGATACTCCTAAGCAGTGCAAATCCACGATTCTGCACGACGGATTAGAAATAAAATATTATTCAGTCTATACCCTAGTTCTCTATTTTATGTCATCAATCCTAGTACTGATATTACGTGACTAATCTTATTATACAATTAACGTATTATTAAAGAATACCTGAAAAATAGAGAAAAATATATTACATCATCAGTAATATCAACAGTAAAATTTTAGATCAGAAGAGGTTTTATGGAGAATTTAACATTTTCATAGTTGAAATCATGAGTCGGTTAAGTGCTCCGGCGCGAGACTGGTAGGTCCTGGGTTTGAATCTAGCAAGTGCGGGATCGTGGGTGCGCACTGCTGAGGAGTCTCATAATAGAACGAAGCGGCCGTTCAGTGCTTCCAGGTTTTCCATGATGGTCTAGCTTCAATTGACTCATGATTTCAACTACGAAAATAAAATTTTATACCATATGTAAGATATACACAATAAAAGACATTATGACTTACAATATTTATCTGAAGTATTAATTATGGAAGTTGATTTAGAAGTAACAGATTTTTTCACGATCGAGGTTGACCTAGTTGATAATCTCTTATTTGGTAGTTTTGGTGTTGGACGCAGTAATTTTGATAGTGGAGTAGTAATAGTAGTCGAATTTACATTGTCTTCTTCATAATAATCAACACCGGAGGAAATAACTGTAAACATGAAACAGATGAAAAAAATGGGGGAAATAGAGGAGCATGTTAGTCAAAATATAAAGAGTAAAGATCTAAAAAATATATGACTTCAGGGAAAAAATGGAATTAAAAAAATAAAATTAGGATGAAGAAAAACATTATAGAAACAGAAAAAATGACAAATGAAAAAGCAGAGAAATACAGGAAACAAAAAAGATCATAAAATAACTAGCAAGCAAGAAAATACACAAACGAAAAAAAATTACAAAAAAAGCAGAAATGAAACATAGATATCGACAACAACAAAAATGAGTGAAAATACATACGCGAGAATATCATAAAAATTGACTGTTGCTAGGTTCCTTCTCACGTGTGTCTGTGGGAGACAAGTGTGCATGTGTGATTGCGTGAGTGATGTTCGAGATTTTCATGTGTATGTGGAATGGCATGGGAAATGCGTAATGATTCGGTGTGTTTGTGTGCTAGCAATGTGACGAGTGATGGATTAGTCGATTGAGTGTGTGACAATTCAGTGAGTGGTTGTATTTGTGTGTGGTACTTGTCATGGTTGTTTGTTGGTATGTTGGTTCGAATGATTGGGTGTATGTGTGAATGTTTGAGTGGTGGAGTGAGTGGATGATTGACTGTTTGACATTGTGAGAGAGTTCTAGATAACCACTGGAATGAGTGAATGCAGTGAGGGATAAGCGACAGTGTTCGTTGGAACAAGAGTACACTGTCAAGTGGAACTGATGTGACGATGAGAGGAGCACAGTGATTGTCACTGATCGGGTCTGATACGAGATTGAGTATAGGTACAGAATGCAGTGAGTGTGTGGATGTAGGCGTTTATGGTGTAAGACTTACGTTTGCTTGAGTCGGTGACTGATGCAGTTCCGTTTTGTTTTGGTGATGTTTCGGAGGGAAGTCGACGTCGTCTTCTTCTCTTGCCCGTCTTGTCCACGTAGTCGACGTAGAGCTCGTCGTCTTGTGGTGTGGTGCTGGATGGTGCTCCTGTGTCAGGTGTCGACGTGGGTCCTGAGAACAGAGGATAAGAGAAGAGAGTGTTAGCATGATGAGGACAGCAATGTCGGGTGACTGTGGATGGTAGACTGAATGTTCCAGTCTGTCTGGTGTGATGTGTGTGTGTGTGCATGAGTGAGAGTGGGAGATTGTCTCGATGTGGTTGACACTAACAGGCTTGTGGTGGGCATCGATCGTGTGTGTGCGAATCGTCCACTCTCATGTGTGTCTGTGGGAGACAAGTGTGCATGTGTGATTGCGTGAGTGATGTTCGAGATTTTCATGTGTATGTGGAATGACATGGGAAATGCGTAATGATTCGGTGTGTTTGTGTGCTAGCAATGTGACGAGTGATGGATTGGTTGATTGAGTGTGTGACAATTCAGTGAGTGGTTGTATTTGTGTGTGGTACTTGTCATGGTTGTTTGTTGGTATGTTGGTTCGAATGATTGGGTGTATGTGTGAATGTTTGAGTGGTGGAGTGAGTGGATGATTGACTGTTTGACATTGTGAGAGAGTTCTAGAGAACCACTGGAATGAGTGAATGCAGTGAGGGATAAGCGACAGTGTTCGTTGGAACAAGAGTACACTGTCAAGTGGAACTGATGTGACGATGAGAGGAGCACAGTGATTGTTACTGATCGGGTCTGATACGAGATTGAGTATAGGTACAGAATGCAGTGAGTGTGTGGATGTAGGCGTTTATGGTGTAAGACTTACGTTTGCTTGAGTCGGTGACTGATGCAGTTCCGTTTTGTTTTGGTGATGTTTCGGAGGGAAGTCGACGTCGTCTTCTTCTCTTGCCCGTCTTGTCCACGTAGTCGACGTAGAGCTCGTCGTCTTGTGGTGTGGTGCTGGATGGTGCTCCTGTGTCAGGTGTCGACGTGGGTCCTGAGAACAGAGGATAAGAGAAGAGAGTGTTAGCATGATGAGGACAGCAATGTCGGGTGACTGTGGATGGTAGACTGAATGTTCCAGTCTGTCTGGTGTGATGTGTGTGTGTGTGCATGAGTGAGAGTGGGAGATTGTCTCGATGTGGTTGACACTAACAGGCTTGTGGTGGGCATCGATCGTGTGTGTGCGAATCGTCCACTCTCATGTGTGTCTGTGGGAGACAAGTGTGCATGTGTGATTGCGTGAGTGATGTTCGAGATTTTCATGTGTATGTGGAATGGCATGGGAAATGCGTAATGATTCGGTGTGTTTGTGTGCTAGCAATGTGACGAGTGATGGATTGGTTGATTGAGTGTGTGACAATTCAGTGAGTGGTTGTATTTGTGTGTGGTACTTGTTATGATTGTTTGTTGGTATGTTGGTTCGAATGATTGGGTGTATGTGTGAATGTTTGAGTGGTGGAGTGAGTGGATGATTGACTGTTTGACATTGTGAGAGAGTTCTAGAGAACCACTGGAATGAGTGAATGCAGTGAGGGATAAGCGACAGTGTTCGTTGGAACAAGAGTACACTGTCAAGTGGAACTGATGTGACGATGAGAGGAGCACAGTGATTGTTACTGATCGGGTCTGATACGAGATTGAGTATAGGTACAGAATGCAGTGAGTGTGTGGATGTAGGCGTTTATGGTGTAAGACTTACGTTTGCTTGAGTCGGTGACTGATGCAGTTCCGTTTTGTTTTGGTGATGTTTCGGAGGGAAGTCGACGTCGTCTTCTTCTCTTGCCCGTCTTGTCCACGTAGTCGACGTAGAGCTCGTCGTCTTGTGGTGTGGTGCTGGATGGTGCTCCTGTGTCAGGTGTCGACGTGGGTCCTGAGAACAGAGGATAAGAGAAGAGAGTGTTAGCATGATGAGGACAGCAATGTCGGGTGACTGTGGATGGTAGACTGAATGTTCCAGTCTGTCTGGTGTGATGTGTGTGTGTGTGCATGAGTGAGAGTGGGAGATTGTCTCGATGTGGTTGACACTAACAGGCTTGTGGTGGGCATCGATCGTGTGTGTGCGAATCGTCCACTCTCATGTGTGTCTGTGGGAGACAAGTGTGCATGTGTGATTGCGTGAGTGATGTTCGAGATTTTCATGTGTATGTGGAATGGAATAGGAAATGCGTAATGATTCGGTGTGTTTGTGTGCTAGCAATGTGACGAGTGATGGATTGGTTGATTGAGTGTGTGACAATTCAGTGAGTGATTGTATTTGTGTGTGGTACTTGTCATGGTTGTTTGTTGGTATGTTGGTTCGAATGATTGGGTGCATGTGTGAATGTTTGAGTGGTGGAGTGAGTGGATGATTGACTGTTTGACATTGTGAGAGAGTTCTAGAGAACCACTGGAATGAGTGAATGCAGTGAGGGATAAGCGACAGTGTTCGTTGGAACAAGAGTACACTGTCAAGTGGAACTGATGTGACGATGAGAGGAGCACAGTGATTGTCACTGATCGGGTCTGATACGAGATTGAGTATAGGTACAGAATGCAGTGAGTGTGTGGATGTAGGCGTTTATGGTGTAAGACTTACGTTTGCTTGAGTCGGTGACTGATGCAGTTCCGTTTTGTTTTGGTGATGTTTCGGAGGGAAGTCGACGTCGTCTTCTTCTCTTGCCCGTCTTGTCCACGTAGTCGACGTAGAGCTCGTCGTCTTGTGGTGTGGTGCTGGATGGTGCTCCTGTGTCAGGTGTCGACGTGGGTCCTGAGAACAGAGGATAAGAGAAGAGAGTGTTAGCATGATGAGGACAGCAATGTCGGGTGACTGTGGATGGTAGACTGAATGTTCCAGTCTGTCTGGTGTGATGTGTGTGTGTGTGCATGAGTGAGAGTGGGAGATTGTCTCGATGTGGTTGACACTAACAGGCTTGTGGTGGGCATCGATCGTGTGTGTGCGGATCGTCCACTCTCATGTGTGTCTGTGGGAGACAAGTGTGCATGTGTGATTGCGTGAGTGATGTTCGAGATTTTCATGTGTATGTGGAATGGCATGGGAAATGCGTAATGATTCGGTGTGTTTGTGTGCTAGCAATGTGACGAGTGATGGATTGGTTGATTGAGTGTGTGACAATTCAGTGAGTGATTGTATTTGTGTGTGGTACTTGTCATGGTTGTTTGTTGGTATGTTGGTTCGAATGATTGGGTGTATGTGTGAATGTTTGAGTGGTGGAGTGAGTGGATGATTGACTGTTTGACATTGTGAGAGAGTTCTAGAGAACCACTGGAATGAGTGAATGCAGTGAGGGATAAGCGACAGTGTTCGTTGGAACAAGAGTACACTGTCAAGTGGAACTGATGTGACGATGAGAGGAGCACAGTGATTGTTACTGATCGTGTCTGATACGAGATTGAGTATAGGTACAGAATGCAGTGAGTGTGTGGATGTAGGCGTTTATGGTGTAAGACTTACGTTTGCTTGAGTCGGTGACTGATGCAGTTCCGTTTTGTTTTGGTGATGTTTCGGAGGGAAGTCGACGTCGTCTTCTTCTCTTGCCCGTCTTGTCCACGTAGTCGACGTAGAGCTCGTCGTCTTGTGGTGTGGTGCTGGATGGTGCTCCTGTGTCAGGTGTCGACGTGGGTCCTGAGAACAGAGGATAAGAGAAGAGAGTGTTAGCATGATGAGGACAGCAATGTCGGGTGACTGTGGATGGTAGACTGAATGTTCCAGTCTGTCTGGTGTGATGTGTGTGTGTGTGCATGAGTGAGAGTGGGAGATTGTCTCGATGTGGTTGACACTAACAGGCTTGTGGTGGGCATCGATCGTGTGTGTGCGGATCGTCCACTCTCATGTGTGTCTGTGGGAGACAAGTGTGCATGTGTGATTGCGTGAGTGATGTTCGAGATTTTCATGTGTATGTGGAATGGCATGGGAAATGCGTAATGATTCGGTGTGTTTGTGTGCTAGCAATGTGACGAGTGATGGATTAGTCGATTGAGTGTGTGACAATTCAGTGAGTGGTTGTATTTGTGTGTGGTACTTGTTATGGTTGTTTGTTGGTATGTTGGTTCGAATGATTGGGTGTATGTGTGAATGTTTGAGTGGTGGAGTGAGTGGATGATTGACTGTTTGACATTGTGAGAGAGTTCTAGAGAACCACTGGAATGAGTGAATGCAGTGAGGGATAAGCGACAGTGTTCGTTGGAACAAGAGTACACTGTCAAGTGGAACTGATGTGACGATGAGAGGAGCACAGTGATTGTCACTGATCGGGTCTGATACGAGATTGAGTATAGGTACAGAATGCAGTGAGTGTGTGGATGTAGGCGTTTATGGTGTAAGACTTACGTTTGCTTGAGTCGGTGACTGATGCAGTTCCGTTTTGTTTTGGTGATGTTTCGGAGGGAAGTCGACGTCGTCTTCTTCTCTTGCCCGTCTTGTCCACGTAGTCGACGTAGAGCTCGTCGTCTTGTGGTGTGGTGCTGGATGGTGCTCCTGTGTCAGGTGTCGACGTGGGTCCTGAGAACAGAGGATAAGAGAAGAGAGTGTTAGCATGATGAGGACAGCAATGTCGGGTGACTGTGGATGGTAGACTGAATGTTCCAGTCTGTCTGGTGTGATGTGTGTGTGTGTGCATGAGTGAGAGTGGGAGATTGTCTCGATGTGGTTGACACTAACAGGCTTGTGGTGGGCATCGATCGTGTGTGTGCGAATCGTCCACTCTCATGTGTGTCTGTGGGAGACAAGTGTGCATGTGTGATTGCGTGAGTGATGTTCGAGATTTTCATGTGTATGTGGAATGGCATGGGAAATGCGTAATGATTCGGTGTGTTTGTGTGCTAGCAATGTGACGAGTGATGGATTGGTCGATTGAGTGTGTGACAATTCAGTGAGTGGTTGTATTTGTGTGTGGTACTTGTCATGGTTGTTTGTTGGTATGTTGGTTCGAATGATTGGGTGTATGTGTGAATGTTTGAGTGGTGGAGTGAGTGGATGATTGACTGTTTGACATTGTGAGAGAGTTCTAGAGAACCACTGGAATGAGTGAATGCAGTGAGGGATAAGCGACAGTGTTCGTTGGAACAAGAGTACACTGTCAAGTGGAACTGATGTGACGATGAGAGGAACACAGTGATTGTCACTGATCGGGTCTGATACGAGATTGAGTATTGGTACAGAATGCAGTGAGTGTGTGGATGTAGGCGTTTATGGTGTAAGACTTACGTTTGCTTGAGTCGGTGACTGATGCAGTTCCGTTTTGTTTTGGTGATGTTTCGGAGGGAAGTCGACGTCGTCTTCTTCTCTTGCCCGTCTTGTCCACGTAGTCGACGTAGAGCTCGTCGTCTTGTGGTGTGGTGCTGGATGGTGCTCCTGTGTCAGGTGTCGACGTGGGTCCTGAGAACAGAGGATAAGAGAAGAGAGTGTTAGCATGATGAGGACAGCAATGTCGGGTGACTGTGGATGGTAGACTGAATGTTCCAGTCTGTCTGGTGTGATGTGTGTGTGTGTGCATGAGTGAGAGTGGGAGATTGTCTCGATGTGGTTGACACTAACAGGCTTGTGGTGGGCATCGATCGTGTGTGTGCGAATCGTCCACTCTCATGTGTGTCTGTGGGAGACAAGTGTGCATGTGTGATTGCGTGAGTGATGTTCGAGATTTTCATGTGTATGTGGAATGGCATGGGAAATGCGTAATGATTCGGTGTGTTTGTGTGCTAGCAATGTGACGAGTGATGGATTGGTTGATTGAGTGTGTGACAATTCAGTGAGTGGTTGTATTTGTGTGTGGTACTTGTCATGGTTGTTTGTTGGTATGTTGGTTCGAATGATTGGGTGTATGTGTGAATGATTGAGTGGTGGAGTGAGTGGATGATTGACTGTTTGACATTGTGAGAGAGATCTAGAGAACCACTGGAATGAGTGAATGCAGTGAGGGATAAGCGACAGTGTTCGTTGGAACAAGAGTACACTGTCAAGTGGAACTGATGTGACGATGAGAGGAGCACAGTGATTGTTACTGATCGTGTCTGATACGAGATTGAGTATAGGTACAGAATGCAGTGAGTGTGTGGATGTAGGCGTTTATGGTGTAAGACTTACGTTTGCTTGAGTCGGTGACTGATGCAGTTCCGTTTTGTTTTGGTGATGTTTCGGAGGGAAGTCGACGTCGTCTTCTTCTCTTGCCCGTCTTGTCCACGTAGTCGACGTAGAGCTCGTCGTCTTGTGGTGTGGTGCTGGATGGTGCTCCTGTGTCAGGTGTCGACGTGGGTCCTGAGAACAGAGGATAAGAGAAGAGAGTGTTAGCATGATGAGGACAGCAATGTCGGGTGACTGTGGATGGTAGACTGAATGTTCCAGTCTGTCTGGTGTGATGTGTGTGTGTGTGCATGAGTGAGAGTGGGAGATTGTCTCGATGTGGTTGACACTAACAGGCTTGTGGTGGGCATCGATCGTGTGTGTGCGAATCGTCCACTCTCATGTGTGTCTGTGGGAGACAAGTGTGCATGTGTGATTGCGTGAGTGATGTTCGAGATTTTCATGTGTATGTGGAATGGCATGGGAAATGCGTAATGATTCGGTGTGTTTGTGTGCTAGCAATGTGACGAGTGATGGATTGGTTGATTGAGTGTGTGACAATTCAGTGAGTGATTGTATTTGTGTGTGGTACTTGTCATGGTTGTTTGTTGGTATGTTGGTTCGAATGATTGGGTGTATGTGTGAATGATTGAGTGGTGGAGTGAGTGGATGATTGACTGTTTGACATTGTGAGAGAGTTCTAGAGAACCACTGGAATGAGTGAATGCAGTGAGGGATAAGCGACAGTGTTCGTTGGAACAAGAGTACACTGTCAAGTGGAACTGATGTGACGATGAGAGGAGCACAGTGATTGTTACTGATCGGGTCTGATACGAGATTGAGTATTGGTACAGAATGCAGTGAGTGTGTGGATGTAGGCGTTTATGGTGTAAGACTTACGTTTGCTTGAGTCGGTGACTGATGCAGTTCCGTTTTGTTTTGGTGATGTTTCGGAGGGAAGTCGACGTCGTCTTCTTCTCTTGCCCGTCTTGTCCACGTAGTCGACGTAGAGCTCGTCGTCTTGTGGTGTGGTGCTGGATGGTGCTCCTGTGTCAGGTGTCGACGTGGGTCCTGAGAACAGAGGATAAGAGAAGAGAGTGTTAGCATGATGAGGACAGCAATGTCGGGTGACTGTGGATGGTAGACTGAATGTTCCAGTCTGTCTGGTGTGATGTGTGTGTGTGTGTGCATGAGTGAGAGTGGGAGATTGTCTCGATGTGGTTGACACTAACAGGCTTGTGGTGGGCATCGATCGTGTGTGTGCGGATCGTCCACTCTCATGTGTGTCTGTGGGAGACAAGTGTGCATGTGTGATTGCGTGAGTGATGTTCGAGATTTTCATGTGTATGTGGAATGGCATGGGAAATGCGTAATGATTCGGTGTGTTTGTGTGCTAGCAATGTGACGAGTGATGGATTGGTTGATTGAGTGTGTGACAATTCAGTGAGTGATTGTATTTGTGTGTGGTACTTGTTATGGTTGTTTGTTGGTATGTTGGTTCGAATGATTGGGTGTATGTGTGAATGTTTGAGTGGTGGAGTGAGTGGATGATTGACTGTTTGACATTGTGAGAGAGTTCTAGAGAACCACTGGAATGAGTGAATGCAGTGAGGGATAAGCGACAGTGTTCGTTGGAACAAGAGTACACTGTCAAGTGGAACTGATGTGACGATGAGAGGAGCACAGTGATTGTTACTGATCGTGTCTGATACGAGATTGAGTATTGGTACAGAATGCAGTGAGTGTGTGGATGTAGGCGTTTATGGTGTAAGACTTACGTTTGCTTGAGTCGGTGACTGATGCAGTTCCGTTTTGTTTTGGTGATGTTTCGGAGGGAAGTCGACGTCGTCTTCTTCTCTTGCCCGTCTTGTCCACGTAGTCGACGTAGAGCTCGTCGTCTTGTGGTGTGGTGCTGGATGGTGCTCCTGTGTCAGGTGTCGACGTGGGTCCTGAGAACAGAGGATAAGAGAAGAGAGTGTTAGCATGATGAGGACAGCAATGTCGGGTGACTGTGGATGGTAGACTGAATGTTCCAGTCTGTCTGGTGTGATGTGTGTGTGTGTGTGCATGAGTGAGAGTGGGAGATTGTCTCGATGTGGTTGACACTAACAGGCTTGTGGTGGGCATCGATCGTGTGTGTGCGGATCGTCCACTCTCATGTGTGTCTGTGGGAGACAAGTGTGCATGTGTGATTGCGTGAGTGATGTTCGAGATTTTCATGTGTATGTGGAATGGCATGGGAAATGCGTAATGATTCGGTGTGTTTGTGTGCTAGCAATGTGACGAGTGATGGATTGGTTGATTGAGTGTGTGACAATTCAGTGAGTGATTGTATTTGTGTGTGGTACTTGTTATGGTTGTTTGTTGGTATGTTGGTTCGAATGATTGGGTGTATGTGTGAATGATTGAGTGGTGGAGTGAGTGGATGATTGACTGTTTGACATTGTGAGAGAGTTCTAGATAACCACTGGAATGAGTGAATGCAGTGAGGGATAAGCGACAGTGTTCGTTGGAACAAGAGTACACTGTCAAGTGGAACTGATGTGACGATGAGAGGAGCACAGTGATTGTTACTGATCGGGTCTGATACGAGATTGAGTATAGGTACAGAATGCAGTGAGTGTGTGGATGTAGGCGTTTATGGTGTAAGACTTACGTTTGCTTGAGTCGGTGACTGATGCAGTTCCGTTTTGTTTTGGTGATGTTTCGGAGGGAAGTCGACGTCGTCTTCTTCTCTTGCCCGTCTTGTCCACGTAGTCGACGTAGAGCTCGTCGTCTTGTGGTGTGGTGCTGGATGGTGCTCCTGTGTCAGGTGTCGACGTGGGTCCTGAGAACAGAGGATAAGAGAAGAGAGTGTTAGCATGATGAGGACAGCAATGTCGGGTGACTGTGGATGGTAGACTGAATGTTCCAGTCTGTCTGGTGTGATGTGTGTGTGTGTGTGCATGAGTGAGAGTGGGAGATTGTCTCGATGTGGTTGACACTAACAGGCTTGTGGTGGGCATCGATCGTGTGTGTGCGGATCGTCCACTCTCATGTGTGTCTGTGGGAGACAAGTGTGCATGTGTGATTGCGTGAGTGATGTTCGAGATTTTCATGTGTATGTGGAATGGCATGGGAAATGCGTAATGATTCGGTGTGTTTGTGTGCTAGCAATGTGACGAGTGATGGATTGGTTGATTGAGTGTGTGACAATTCAGTGAGTGATTGTATTTGTGTGTGGTACTTGTCATGGTTGTTTGTTGGTATGTTGGTTCGAATGATTGGGTGTATGTGTGAATGATTGAGTGGTGGAGTGAGTGGATGATTGACTGTTTGACATTGTGAGAGAGATCTAGAGAACCACTGGAATGAGTGAATGCAGTGAGGGATAAGCGACAGTGTTCGTTGGAACAAGAGTACACTGTCAAGTGGAACTGATGTGACGATGAGAGGAGCACAGTGATTGTTACTGATCGGGTCTGATACGAGATTGAGTATAGGTACAGAATGCAGTGAGTGTGTGGATGTAGGCGTTTATGGTGTAAGACTTACGTTTGCTTGAGTCGGTGACTGATGCAGTTCCGTTTTGTTTTGGTGATGTTTCGGAGGGAAGTCGACGTCGTCTTCTTCTCTTGCCCGTCTTGTCCACGTAGTCGACGTAGAGCTCGTCGTCTTGTGGTGTGGTGCTGGATGGTGCTCCTGTGTCAGGTGTCGACGTGGGTCCTGAGAACAGAGGATAAGAGAAGAGAGTGTTAGCATGATGAGGACAGCAATGTCGGGTGACTGTGGATGGTAGACTGAATGTTCCAGTCTGTCTGGTGTGATGTGTGTGTGTGTGCATGAGTGAGAGTGGGAGATTGTCTCGATGTGGTTGACACTAACAGGCTTGTGGTGGGCATCGATCGTGTGTGTGCGGATCGTCCACTCTCATGTGTGTCTGTGGGAGACAAGTGTGCATGTGTGATTGCGTGAGTGATGTTCGAGATTTTCATGTGTATGTGGAATGGCATGGGAAATGCGTAATGATTCGGTGTGTTTGTGTGCTAGCAATGTGACGAGTGATGGATTGGTTGATTGAGTGTGTGACAATTCAGTGAGTGGTTGTATTTGTGTGTGGTACTTGTCATGGTTGTTTGTTGGTATGTTGGTTCGAATGATTGGGTGTATGTGTGAATGTTTGAGTGGTGGAGTGAGTGGATGATTGACTGTTTGACATTGTGAGAGAGTTCTAGAGAACCACTGGAATGAGTGAATGCAGTGAGGGATAAGCGACAGTGTTCGTTGGAACAAGAGTACACTGTCAAGTGGAACTGATGTGACGATGAGAGGAGCACAGTGATTGTTACTGATCGGGTCTGATACGAGATTGAGTATTGGTACAGAATGCAGTGAGTGTGTGGATGTAGGCGTTTATGGTGTAAGACTTACGTTTGCTTGAGTCGGTGACTGATGCAGTTCCGTTTTGTTTTGGTGATGTTTCGGAGGGAAGTCGACGTCGTCTTCTTCTCTTGCCCGTCTTGTCCACGTAGTCGACGTAGAGCTCGTCGTCTTGTGGTGTGGTGCTGGATGGTGCTCCTGTGTCAGGTGTCGACGTGGGTCCTGAGAACAGAGGATAAGAGAAGAGAGTGTTAGCATGATGAGGACAGCAATGTCGGGTGACTGTGGATGGTAGACTGAATGTTCCAGTCTGTCTGGTGTGATGTGTGTGTGTGTGCATGAGTGAGAGTGGGAGATTGTCTCGATGTGGTTGACACTAACAGGCTTGTGGTGGGCATCGATCGTGTGTGTGCGGATCGTCCACTCTCATGTGTGTCTGTGGGAGACAAGTGTGCATGTGTGATTGCGTGAGTGATGTTCGAGATTTTCATGTGTATGTGGAATGGCATGGGAAATGCGTAATGATTCGGTGTGTTTGTGTGCTAGCAATGTGACGAGTGATGGATTGGTTGATTGAGTGTGTGACAATTCAGTGAGTGGTTGTATTTGTGTGTGGTACTTGTCATGGTTGTTTGTTGGTATGTTGGTTCGAATGATTGGGTGTATGTGTGAATGTTTGAGTGGTGGAGTGAGTGGATGATTGACTGTTTGACATTGTGAGAGAGTTCTAGATAACCACTGGAATGAGTGAATGCAGTGAGGGATAAGCGACAGTGTTCGTTGGAACAAGAGTACACTGTCAAGTGGAACTGATGTGACGATGAGAGGAGCACAGTGATTGTTACTGATCGTGTCTGATACGAGATTGAGTATTGGTACAGAATGCAGTGAGTGTGTGGATGTAGGCGTTTATGGTGTAAGACTTACGTTTGCTTGAGTCGGTGACTGATGCAGTTCCGTTTTGTTTTGGTGATGTTTCGGAGGGAAGTCGACGTCGTCTTCTTCTCTTGCCCGTCTTGTCCACGTAGTCGACGTAGAGCTCGTCGTCTTGTGGTGTGGTGCTGGATGGTGCTCCTGTGTCAGGTGTCGACGTGGGTCCTGAGAACAGAGGATAAGAGAAGAGAGTGTTAGCATGATGAGGACAGCAATGTCGGGTGACTGTGGATGGTAGACTGAATGTTCCAGTCTGTCTGGTGTGATGTGTGTGTGTGTGTGCATGAGTGAGAGTGGGAGATTGTCTCGATGTGGTTGACACTAACAGGCTTGTGGTGGGCATCGATCGTGTGTGTGCGGATCGTCCACTCTCATGTGTGTCTGTGGGAGACAAGTGTGCATGTGTGATTGCGTGAGTGATGTTCGAGATTTTCATGTGTATGTGGAATGGCATGGGAAATGCGTAATGATTCGGTGTGTTTGTGTGCTAGCAATGTGACGAGTGATGGATTGGTTGATTGAGTGTGTGACAATTCAGTGAGTGGTTGTATTTGTGTGTGGTACTTGTCATGGTTGTTTGTTGGTATGTTGGTTCGAATGATTGGGTGTATGTGTGAATGTTTGAGTGGTGGAGTGAGTGGATGATTGACTGTTTGACATTGTGAGAGAGTTCTAGAGAACCACTGGAATGAGTGAATGCAGTGAGGGATAAGCGACAGTGTTCGTTGGAACAAGAGTACACTGTCAAGTGGAACTGATGTGACGATGAGAGGAGCACAGTGATTGTTACTGATCGTGTCTGATACGAGATTGAGTATTGGTACAGAATGCAGTGAGTGTGTGGATGTAGGCGTTTATGGTGTAAGACTTACGTTTGCTTGAGTCGGTGACTGATGCAGTTCCGTTTTGTTTTGGTGATGTTTCGGAGGGAAGTCGACGTCGTCTTCTTCTCTTGCCCGTCTTGTCCACGTAGTCGACGTAGAGCTCGTCGTCTTGTGGTGTGGTGCTGGATGGTGCTCCTGTGTCAGGTGTCGAC